GTTACTGGTTTGCTTGATTGTGGTTTTGTTGGGTTTGGGAATGTGGAACCTTGTGCTATAACTGCCACCACCTAAAAGGCCTTTTCCCCATGTCCAAGACCCTAGCCAGTCATTTGAACCTGTGTCTAAGACCTCCGGATTAGTTAGTGGTGACACCCCTTTTGTGAACTCTAGCATTTAGAGGCTGCATTCATGGTGAAGAGACGTTAGGGATTGAGAGAATAAGCATGCGCATTTTTCGCATCAATTTGTCCTGACCCCACTGGTCGAGAGTGAGTGATTCATTTTCTCATATTCTTTATACTCTTTACCCCGGTGAGGGCCTAGATTGCTCGGTCTTAATTCTGATATCGTGAGCCTTGTGCATGAAGTGACTGTTTTGAACAAGTGGTTGAGTCGAGTCTATGTTGGTTGGTGAACAGAAGAGAACTCTTCCTCTGCTCGACTTTATTGCATTCGAATGTCATCTGTGGTGGTTGTCTAGGTTGTCGTTCGAGTTGCCATGTGTTGAAGATCGAAAGCCAGTATGATCCACGTGTTTTGTGCCGATATGATTTGCCCTAAAGCCTGCTTGATTGAAATGTCTTGAGCTTGCCTAGTGTCTGACTTGGTTTGCTTAGGGACAAGCAAACGGTTAAGTGTGGGGGAGTTTGATAACGATGTAATTGCATGATTTTATACCCCTATTTCTTATCCATTTGCGGAGCATGGTTGTGTGTTTTGGCATATTTTACGCCGGGTTGGGCTACTTTGTCCTATTTCAGGTCCCAGGCGTCAAAGGGAAGGCCGAGCGCGAGTTTCGGATCATTTGGAAGTCGTTTGGTCGAGCCAGGGCCAAAACACGGGCAGGAGGCCCTCAGAACACGGCCGTGTTCCTGGCCGTGCTTTTACTGCCGAGGCTCCCCATGTGCGGCTTGAACAAGCTAAAAAAACACGGGCAGGACTGAGACAGAACACGGCCGTGTCCACATCAGAACACGCCCGTGTTTTCCCAAGGCACGTGCCCGTGTAATTACCACGTGGAAGAGAACACGGGCGGCCTGGACCAGAACACGGCCGTGCCCTCGACCGTGTTCTGGCCAGTGATGCCCTATTAGGCAGATTTCCGTCCAAAAGAAGGGGGATTCGAGTATTAGAGAGACAGAGCGATTCCTAGAGAGAGAAAGCGACGAACAAGAGTCTCCAAGTGCCCTAGATTGATCTTCATCACCATTGGAGCTTGGCTTGAGCTTGGAGAAGTGCCGATCAACGTCCAGAAGCTGAATTCCATCCTTCACAGTATGGTTTCCGCATCTGATTCTGCTTTTGCTTCTTTCTCCATGGAGTAGTTCTCCCATTCATCTGGGTGTGGGAAACCCTAGTTCTGTATGTTAGGATTGATTGTATGAACCCAAGTACTGTTTCTATGATTTGATTATATTCGATTGAGGTTTGAATGATTGAATGGCATGAATCCTGATCAAATTCCTGTTGTTTCTGCTTTAACCTAGAATGAGAATATCTGCCTAGGTTAATAGAGTATTTTTAATTGAAGGTAGCGAATTGGTGACTTTAGTCGAGGAGCCAATTCGCTATTCTGTACCGAAGTCAATTCGGTAGTGGAGGTTTGGTTCGTTAGGGCCTCAATCTGTTTACTCTGGTGGAGGTTAGTCGCCCACTAGAGACTCAGATTGAGAGGGTCTGAAGACCTTTAGTCGAGACTTCGGACTGTTTAAGAACCTTCCGCAGTATACCTATCATAGAAATTGAACTTGATAATTACAATTCGGCTTAACTGCAGACTAGGGGGAACCATATCCGGGTGACCTCTCTTAACCTGAAAACAACCGTTTAGTTGCTTTGCTTGCTTGTTAGTTTAGACCTTCACTAAAGTTTCATTGCTAGATAATACGAATTCACTGAGTAGTCATCACATCTAGGACCCGGGTTGACATTGAAACCCAAACCCGCTATACTACGCTTTAGGAAGTGGTTACACTTGGCCATTTTCTAGAGTGACAGTAGGAGTGAGTCACCCTGCTTCCTCAACTTAGTTATACTCCTAACATGGTTTTTTGTTAGGAGATACTTATAGGGCCAAATGGGCAGCCACGTCACCAAGCCACGATCCATCGGTGGAGGAAGATTGGTGCCATCAAGGCAGGAGAGCCGAGTCCATCGGCTGGCCCAAGCCCATGGGAAAAGAAAATGGGGCCCGTCGGTCCCCCAAATTCAAAAAAACACCATTTTTTTTACTAAAAATCCTCCCCTCTCTAATCTTTCTCCGCCAGACCTGTTTCCCCCCCCCCCTCTCTCTCTCTCTCCAAAAATCGATCATTTCCACTCCCTTTCTCTTTCCTCTCCCTTTCCTCTCCCGATAACGACAACGTCGGCCAGGTTGGTTTGACGGCGGCGACGGTGCAGACGAAGCGGCAGTGAGGAAGGGGTTGGTTGACGGCGTTTAAGGTGCAGACGAAGCGTGCTTGTTTTGACGGTGCAGATGAAGCGGCGACGATGAAGGGGTTGGTTGACGACGGTCGTTGAAGAAAGAATAACTTCGTTGACTAAGGTAGCGGAGTTTTTTTTCCTTTGTTAATGGATACTCATGTTCGTTTGAGTATATTTGAGTTAGGGTTGCATGACTTCGACTAGATCTGAGTTTTCCTTTTCCTACATTTTTTTGGATGAGTTTGATGGATTTGTTTTCTGGTAACTTAGATTTGACTGGATCTGGTTTGCTTTCTTTTGTGGATTTTGTGGATGTTTTCTGAGTTTGTGGATTTGATTGTATCTGGGTCTGGGTTGCTGGATTTGTGAATTCTGTGGATTTGACTGGATCTGGGTTGCTTTGTTTTCTGGGTTTTGTGGATATGTTTTGTGTGCGTTCCAATATTAGTTTTGTTCGGGCAGGATATCAATTTTCAATTGCCTAGATAGTTGTGTGGTCGGGATCTGAGATTCGATTTGTAGATCTAGAATATTAGTTCCTTTCATAGTGGATAACAATTAGCATGGTTGGGATACTACTTTTTGATGATGTGGATATCATTTTATAATTAATTGTTCAGATATTAGTTGTATGATGTTTGGATATTTATTTACTCTATCTTGATACTTCTCTACCCTCTATGGATGCTAGTTCACTTATATTAGTTCTGTGCGATTGAGATATCTATTATATTATATTATGTCTGAATATTTATTCGCTGTATCTACAACTTGAAGAAGAACACTTCTACTATGCTATATAGTATTGGTGCTTTAATGTACAACTTAAAGTTGTACCATAACATTAAATGTATAAGTTTAGGTTTTACCATAAATCAATTTGTATCATTATGTTATGGTATAACTTTACAACTTGAAGTTGTACCATCACATAAAGGTACAAGTTCAAGTTGTACCATTACCATAAAAGAATTTGTACGAAAAGTATAAGTACAATCTGAAGTTGTACTATAATGTAAATATACAATTTTAAGTTGTACTATAAAGACAAAACCCTATAGCACCAATACTATATAGCATTGTAAAATTTCTCCTTGAAGAAATGGGTTTACTGATGTTGATGTTGAAGCATGCTTGGAACATCTGTGTTTTTTTAGATATATCTATATAATATATATTAGATATATAACTAATTATTTAAATGGTAATTTGGTTTGATCGGTTAGTAGTGTATGAATTCAAACCATACCACTTAAATTAAAGGGTTAATATTTTCGTATGGCCTAAACTTTTACCAAAATAAACATCCTGGCCAATCTTTTCGATCTATAACATCCTGGCACGAATTATACACCAAAATAAACAATTTGGCCAGATTAGACTTTTGACCGTTAACTTGGACGGTCAAACGCGTTGACCGTTAGTCAACGCGCCATGTCACTGCCAAGTCAGCATAAAATATTTAAAATAATTCACAATTTCCACACATTCCCTAATTTTAAATTATTATAAATTAAAAAAATCATCTAATACCTTAGTTAAACCAAAAATAAAAAACGAAAAAAATTAAATATTTATCATATCTTCTGACTTGGCAGTGACGTGGCGCGTTGACTGTTAGTCAACGCGTTTGACCGTCCAAGTTAACGGTCAAACATCGGGTTTGGCCAAATTATTTATTTTGGTGTATAGTTCGAGCCAGAATGTTATAGATCGAAAAGATTGGCCAGGATGCTTATTTTGGTCAAAGTTCAGACCATACGAAAATATTAACCCTAAATTAAACAAGCTAAAATAATTAATTAAACCATACCAATTATCTAAATTAATCAAACCAAATCATCCAAATACTCTTATTAAAATGATCTAATCACACCCTTTGAACACCCTTAACAACCAAGTCGGCTACCCAAGTGCATCTTACGGACCTGCGGCAGGACAACCCACATGTGAACCACAAATGAAATTCTCACCAATTCCCTTCCTCGACCCTCAACAAGAGAACCATGAAGTCAAATTTTATAGCTGGGCCTAGTATTCTGGGCTATGGGCTTGAAGCCTTGAACTATTTGGGCTTCACCGCAACCGAAGTACAAAAATCTCCAACAACCGGGCCAGGCCTTCAAAATATAAAACTTAGGGGTCGTCTGGAAGTTGCGATAGTTTTATTGAGATTGTCATTATACATGTATTGTTTACAATGCATCGTTTTTTTTTTTGTTTTTTTAGCAGAAACAATACATGGATTGTTTCTGTGATGTGACAGAAACTATTACTCATTTTGAGTGATTGTTATATCTCAACTTTTAGTTGTGATTATTGAGATTGTTTTGTCTCAGCTTTTAGCTGATGCGACATACACAATCACACATACCAAACATTGTATTTTACAATGCATCAAATTCGACAATACACGTATAATATTATACATGCATTCTCAACAATACATTTATTTAACAATCACAACTTCCAAACGAAGCCTTAGAAACTAGAAAGTGACTAGTTTGTTAAGACTTACAAGTTGTGCATCCGGTTGACCAATAACCCCAAATTATAGTTACCATTTAAGTAATTATGCCTATATGTAGCTAGCAAACTCGCCAATGACTCTTTTCGTATGCTTCTCCAGTCTCGCCTAGGGTTTCTGCTCTGCCGCTCTCTCGCCGCCGTCCGCCATGGTACTTCCCTCTCATCTTCATCCGCTGCCGCGGATCTTTCTGATTTCTGTCGTTTTGAAAATGTGAACGTTTTCAAATCAATGGAAAAAGGATTCAATTCCGTCTAAACGGATCATAGCATCTATCTGTGGCACCCGAGACTCTGTTTCGTCTAGTGCCATGGGGATTCCTTTTAGGTCATTTATGATATTGTTTAGACAGGCATGGAATCGGAGATACGAGAGCTATGATATGTTCTTTCCATCACCTGGTTTCGTGTTCTGCGAAAGAATTGGACTTTTTATTTTCACTTCTCGTCTCATTGACCTAACTCAGTCGATTCTCTCTGTTTCTCTTCTTTTACAGGCCAAGAGAACCAAGAAGGTTGGTATTGTCGGCAAATACGGTACGTCTTCTTGCTACTGTTTCCTTCTTACCCTTTGTGCTGTTTTGCTGCATCACTGCAAGAAAATGGATGCGGTTTTTAGAAGTTGGACATGGTGACAAGTTTTGGTTTTGGGAATTGGTTGAATGTATGTATGTTAGTTAGTCGACTCGGTGCTTGCAATGCGCAAGTTTTCTTTTGTTCACATTCCTTGTACCCTTTCAATGCAGGCACACGTTATGGTGCTAGTCTGAGGAAACAGATTAAGAAGATGGAAGTTAGCCAACACAGGAAGTACTTCTGTGAGTTCTGTGGCAAGGTACTGAATGATCATGTTGTCTTCGCTGTATTTGCTTTTGTTTATTCTTCGTCCCTTGAACACTGGATTGATGGTAAGCTTCTCTGCTTTTGCCAGGATGCTGTCAAGAGAAAGGCTGTGGGTATCTGGGGATGCAAGGATTGTGGCAAGGTCAAAGCAGGAGGTGCTTACACCATGAAGTAAGGACTTAAACTCTCTTTAAAATTGTAACTGCCCTTTGATCTTGAAATTGAAGGGGGCGGAGGTTCTAATGCTAGTTGTGTTTGTCTATGGCAGTACCGCGAGTGCTGTGACTGTGAGGAGTACCATCCGTCGGTTGAGGGAGCAGACCGAGAGTTAGATGTGTTGGAATTGTCATCTCACTGTTTTTGTCTTCGATTTTTTCTGATCTTATTAGCTGTGGCCTGTGGACAGTGCTGTTTCCTTTCTGGTTGGTATGCGCTAGTACCTTGTAAGACCTAATGATCTCTTTAAGTTTTGAGCATTGATGAAAGATTTTATGCTTTGTCACAAGTGATGCCTGAGTTCTCCCTTTCTAATCTACCTTTCTGACACCTTGGCAATTGGGACACTCATTTCCGTTGGATGTACTTCATTGACTCGATCACCGTAGCCTTATTGAAAAGGTCTTCTTGGATCGAAACTAAACCTAATGTGACTCGTTTCCCTTTCATTCATATAGTATCTATGAAGTTGCAAGGGACAAGAAGGATGAACTGTTAAGAGACTAGCTAATAAGGCTGACTCAATCATTGGTCAAGTGTCATCACTTTTCTTTTTAAGATCGGTTCTCGCGCTCATATTTGATATTTTAGGTTGTCCGACAAATCAATTGGAGCAGACAGTTCGAGCATATAGTCCGTTAGTGGTCATTAAGCTCTCTAAGAAGATTTATCGTACATAACATACTATGAGAATCAAGAAAACAATATTAAGTGTTAACCTCAATGCCTTGCATCCTAAACTACAATTAGTAGTTGTCAAGTATCATGGTTAAGCCCGGTGAACTCTTAGATGGAGAAATACATATTGGCAAGAGCTTGAGTGTCTTACCTTATAAACCTCAACTAAGAGCATTGAGACGTTATTTTGAGAATTAATACTGGTTTCCTTTAGTAAGGGATGGGAGGATTAAAGAGAGGATTTGAAAGAAAAGCCCCCAACTAAGAGCACTGAGACGTTCATGGGCTGATTTCCTTGCTTGTAAAGGACACAACCTTGATTTTGGCACACATCCTATTGATGAATGCGATCCAACTCTTTGCTATTGGATTATGTATGATGTAATGGGATGCCCATCAACGTTCAATCATCAATTTGATCTTAGACGTTTAGGCGTCTGTCTTCTACAAAAAGCCCCCTCTTCTTGGGCCACTAGGTGCCGACTGACCTTCTTCTGCCGTCCGTTCGGCTTGGTGTCACATATTAACAATAATTCCCGCTACAATTAAAAAAAAAAAACATAAAAGGACATGATTTCAAGGCACTTAATTACATACTGTTGCAGAATTACAGAGGGAGAGAATAACATTTTCTCTGGATAAAATCCACATTTGGTCACTGAGATTGCTAAATCATGTCATGTTTAGTCACTAGAAAAAATTAATATCAATTTTGGTCACTCGAATTACTGAACCATGTCACATTTAGTCACTCTCCCGTTAGTTTCTGTCCAACTCCATTAACGGAGTTGGACGGTGGCTAACTAAGAGTGGATAAATGTGACATGTTTCAGTAATTCGAGTGATATTCATTAAAAAAAAAGTAATTTGAGTGACTAGAGTTGGACGGGGGCTAACGGGAGAGTGGCTAAATGTGACCTGTTTTAGTAATTCGAGTGACCGAAATTGATATTAATTTTTTCTAGTGACTAAACATAACACGATTTAGTAATTCCAGTGACCAAATGTGACATTTACACCATTTTCTCCCAAGAAACGGGAAAGAAAGCCAATTGTATAATCTACTGGGTAATTATCATAAACGGTCACACATCTATGCACTTAGTACAAAATGATAAGATATTTTTTATTTTGCACGATTCGATACCACAACTTTGAACTTGTACGAAACAGTCATTCCGTCCATCTCCATCCATAAACTAAACGGATTACTAAAACTTCTTAGTCAGCAAATAATTAATAATTATTATATAATTATTATTTTAACCTTTTGAGAACTGATCTACAATAACTAAATTATTAAAACTAAATAAAAATAGCTTCCATCTCTCTCCACCTGGATGACGACATGGCGCATTTGTGCAAGCACCTCCCATGCTGTCATAACCGGGGTGCTCAATAGTACGATATTGTCCGCTTTGGGTCAAGCCCGCACGGATTTACTCTTGGGTGGCCTCCTCAAAAGGCCTCGTACTAATGAGCTTGGTGGACACTAATATACAAGGGTTCCTTCCCTTGTATTACTGATGTGGTACTTGGAATGTCTCATAACAATCCTCCCCTCAAGACAAGGACCACGAAGATCGTGTCCTCACCTCAGTGATTATCTTGATCTGCCAGACGCCTTGTATCGATGGGCTTCTCGGTACAAGGACTTTACCAGACGGAGAACTTTCTTTGATATGCCAAACAGACGTGGATCTCTCCTGGATCCACCAAACAGCCCAGACACAGAACTCTCTTTGATCTACCAAACAGACGTGGATCACAAATCCCGAGGTCACCACACGAGGGTCCCACCAAACTGACGTCCACCGCCCCGAACCGAACCAGGCTCTGATACCACTTGTCAAAATCGGGCTGCTCAATTAGTACAATATTGTCCGCTTTGGGCCAAGCCCGCACGGTTTTACTCTTGGGTGACCATTCTTGTCCAAAAGGTAACAGATCCCACTTACCAGTCTTGGCTCCGTCGTAATGGGACTATTCGCTGCTGGATTTATAATTCCTTGGCTGAAGATATAGCGAATAGTGTTATGGGTCTGGAGAGTGCTCAAGCTGTTTGGGAAAATCTGAAGAACAGATTTAGTCAAGAGGACAACATTAGGGTTTTCGATTTGGAGGGTCAGTTGGGCAAATGTGTCCAAGGGAAACAATCTGTGAGTCAATATTTACCTCCGATACTGTGATATGGGAGGAATACAAGAAGTACAGACCTATTCCTACTTGTCCTTGCAATGGTCCTTATGACATGAAAAGGTACCAGGACAATGACTTTGTAATCAAATTTATGCAAGGTTTAAACTGAATGGCTAATCCTCGCCCTAACTTTATTATAATCGCCCTAACTTTAAAGTGGAATTTACTTAACCGTCCTTCGTAAAATTAAAGAAAAATAACAAATCAAATCTTAATTATACTATCATCTCCCTTCTCAGGCCATCAAAACCGACGATCCTCTTCCCTTCGATCTTCGTCGCCGCTACTTTCCTCTTTGCCTGTTGTCGCCGCTGCTTCTCCCAACTTCCACCGCTGGCACTCCCTCCACAATAAAAAGCGGTCACTGCTCCCTCCACCATCATCACCTCCATGAATGAAAAGATATAACAATACACAGTGCTATACAAGGTGTGTTATACATTATAATTCATAATCAGGATATATACATGCTTCAGTGGGGGTTGATTAAAAGGTAAATGTGGGTAAGGATTATAAAGGCCTGTGCAGTTGTGGTGTGTTTCTTCAAGCGATCTAAAGGACAGCAAGTAGGAACCAAGTTGTGGAGTCTTGGTGGCAGGATAGAAGGGATGCTCTGTTCGGAGAGAGTGAACAAAACTAAGTCTCGAATCTCGATCGGCGTTGTTTGGTGGCAGGGGGAGCTGGGGCGGTTGTAGAAAATGTTATTTTTCTCCTTTGAATTACGTTAATTGAAATAAAATATTTTTTTAGAATAAAAAAAGATAAAGGGGTAATTTCAAACTTTTAAGTTAGGGCGATAAAACAAAGTTAGGGCGAGGTTTAGCAACCCTCGGTTTAAATGAGATATATCAGTCTGCTAGGACTCAAGTCCTAATGAACTCTCAGTTGCTCTCCATTGATGTTGTTTTTAAACAAACTATGCAACTGGAGCGTCAAATGAAAGGTGTTACCAAAAGCAAAGGAGTTGATTCTATAGCACTAGCATCTGGCACACCTCAGAATGATCAATCTAAACTATAGAGATTACAAAGATGGAAAGAAGTTCTATAGGTACTGCAAGAAGCACAATCACACCATTAGTGAGTGTCTGAAGTTGAAAAACAAGAGGTCAAGAGAAGTTGGCAATACAAGTTTTGCAGGGTCTATTGAGACTGGAAATTATGCCCACAAAATAACCCTCTTTCCTCTATTCTTTCTCCAAGTAGTACAAGCAGCATGACCGAGTCTGAGAGACTCGGGTACGAGAAGTGCAAACAGCACAGAAAGAGTTTTAGTTACTCAGAGCTAAATGGAGAGATATCATCCTAACTTATATGTACATATCGAAATTTGAGACGAGCAAGCAGCAGTTTTCTATGTACAATGACAGGAAATGGAGGAAGCACCTTGCTGATCAGTTGCAGGCAAGCATAGACGACATACATGAGTTCATGGTTTCATTGCTGTTGCTGTTGTGGTTTCGATTGTTTTCTTGCTTTCCAGTGCTTCTTGGTTTTCTTGGCGTTATCCATGTGAGAAATCTGCTCATGGTCCAGAAAATGAAGAGACACAAAGAAAAAAAGGTTAGTTTATGTGGGGAGATAAGGAAAAAGTGGTTAAGAGATGTGAAAAAGGCGCAGCATTGATAAAGACTCACGATATGGGATTTCCACTCGAACTTCTCGTGGCCATGTGCAGAAGCAGGAGGAGCAGATTGAGCATGGTTACGAACTTTGTGGAATATGTGCACCAGCACAACAGCGTCTAGAGCAGCGTACTCCAGCTGTATACAGAAACATTACGCAGTATTCAACATTAGTTCATGTCATGATTTTCAGCTATTGGCATATACGGTGTGGGATTAAGAAAAGTGTTCATCAGGGGTTCATCGAATTATTCATTAAAATGAAGTTTGTCATTGTGGGGATTGAAATAATACCTGGTTCTGGCTAAGAGGACGTGTTTCCCAGTTGCTATTTCGCCTTGTCTTGTTTAACCCTGCTCCCAGGATTTTCTGGTCAAATCCAGCAGGCATAATAATGAGAAGAGGTTAAAAGGGTAAACAGAAATGCTGTAAGGAAAGAGACAGAGCTTAAATGCATGGAGAATTGATGGTTGACTTTCAAGATTACCTCTGCAAGCCCTGACAAGCCACCACACGGTTCTTTGAATACATTCTGAACATCCAACAACATTTGGTACTGCTTGAAACAACTGAGCTCTCCATATGAACCAGCCAGCTGCTTTATATCACATTGAAAGTTGTATCCTGCCAATCAATCCAAGACTGTAACATTTAAGCAAAAAACACTTTCTGAAGGTTGAACCAACCATTGATTCTTTTCAAACTGTATATAGGTATTGTACTATGAAGCTCCATACCAAGTTTCAGAATTCCAGGAGACTGCAAAATGCGAGTTAGACAGTTGTCTAAAACTTCAGGCACGTCTTCAGATAACTTTATCAAGTCTAGAATAAAAGCCATCTCCTCGGAAGCTATTTGCATGATAGCAACCTGAAACA